AAAAAAAAAATTACGGACATTCTAGTGGTATGCAGTGGTATTACAAGTTTTAATTTTCATTTTCTTGGTGATTAAAAATATTGACCATCTTTTCATGTGCTGATTGACCACTTTCATATCTTCTTTTGTGAAATGTCTTTTAAAATCCTTTTCCACTTTTTAGATTGGACAGTTTTTCTTATTATTGCCTTAGTGTGACCCATTTGTTAGAAATGAGCCAAAAATTCATATATTATTACTTTTTATTTTTTTTTACCTCATATATTAATTTAAGTATACAATTGACACTAGGGCTCACTCTGTGTTGTACATTCTGTGGGTTTTGACAAACATACAATGACGTGTATCCACCAATACAGAATAATCAAGCAGAACAGCAACAAACCTAAAAATTGCTGTGCTCTCCATATTCATCCCTGCCTTTAGCAAACACTGATAATGAACCCCTGGCAACCACTGATCTTTTTACTATCTCCATGATCTCACCCTTTCCAGAACATAGTTGGAATCATGCAGCATGTAGCCTTTTCAGATTGGCTTCTTCTCAGCAATGTCTTTTCATGGCTTGATAGCTTCCAAGTTTTGGCAATTATGAATAAAGCTGCTATAAACATTCATGTGCAGGTTTTTGTGTGAACATAAGTTTTCAACTCATTTGGGTAAACATCAAGGAGCATGATTGCTGGATCATATGGTAAGAGTATGCTTAGTTTTATAGGAAACTGCCAAACTGTCTTCCAAAGTGGCTGTACCATTTTGCATTCTCACCAGCAATGAGAGTTCCTGTTGCTCTATATCCTCGCCAGCATATTGTTGTTTTAGTTCGCAATTTTCTAATGACATATAACTTTAGGCATCTTTTCATATGCTTATTTACCATCTGTGTATCTTCTCTGGTAAGGTGTCTGTTCAGATCTTTTGCCCATTTTAAAACTGGGTTGCTTGTTTTCTCATTGTTGAATTTTTAAGATTCTTTGTGTATTTTGGGTACCAGTCCTTTATATCAGATATGTGTTTTGCAAATATGAGTTAGGAATATTTCCTTTGGTTCTAGTTTTTGGAAGAGATTATACAGAACATAATTTCTTTCTCAAACGTTTCATAGAATTACCAGTAAACCCATCTGTGTCTAGCCTAGTGATTTAAGTTTTGGAAGATTATTATTGATTCACTTTAAGAGTTGGTTTTAAAAGAGAAGACTTAACTTTTAATAAAATCTCATTTACCATTTTTTTTCTTTCATAGTTTGTACTCTATCCTACTGAAAGTCTTTGTCTATTTCATGCCATAAATGTTTTTATTGAAAAGTTTAATAGTTTTAACTTTTATGTTTGAGTCTTGACCTAAAATGAGTTCATTTTTTGCATACGAAGTGAGGTGGGCTTTGAGGTTCATTTTTTTCTTCACATGGATATCCAGCCTTTATATCACTATATTAAAAAAAGACTATTTCTCCTATCTAATTACCTTGGTGTCTCTGTTGAAGATAAATTCACCATATAAATGTGGGTCTGTTTCTAGACGCCCCATTCTCTTGCACTGATCTATGTTTTCCTTATTCTAAAAACCATGCTGTCTTGATGACTGCTTTATAGAATTATTAAAATGAAGTAGTACAAATACTTGGAGTTTTCTTCTTTTTTTTCGTTGAGACAGAGTCTCACTCTAGCGTCCTGACTAGAGTGCCGCAGCATTATAGCTCATAGCAACCTCAAGTCCTTGGGTTCAAGCAAACCTCTTGCCTCAGTTTTTCTATTTTTAGTAGAGACAGAGTCTTGCTATTGCTCAGGCTGGTCTTGAGCTCCTGAGCTCAAACAATCTGCCTGCCTTGGCCCCCCAGAATGTGAGGATTATAGGCATGAGTAACCACACCTGGCCCTTTTTTTTTTTCTTTAAGAAAGAAGTATATTTGGCTACTCCAGGATCTTTGCCTTCCCACATAAATGTCAGAAAAGGCTTGTCAAGTTCTACAAAGATCCCTGGTGGGATTTTTATTGGGATTATATGG